GGAAAAGCAACATCTGAAAATGAAGCTGTAGACAGAGAAGATTCAACTGAGAAAAGATTCAATGGTTGTACAAAGGTATAGTGGCAATCTTTGTTTAGGCCTAGACAAACTGATATGAATGTTGGGTGACTTCCCTCAGTGGTGGCATTGACTGCATCCAGTAGTACACCACCAACATTCAGTTCAAATACAAAGACAAATTATTTTTGTGGCTGTAGATAAGAGCCCATAGTAGGGAATTTTGTTGCCTAAGTGGGCTATATTGTAATCATTGCATGTGTAGTCAGTAACTTTAGTAGTTAAAGGATGACACTCTACATAAGTTCATATTCGTTAAAAAGAAACAGCTGGAGAGTTCACAAAAGGTATTTCCCGGGTTATCTATTTCCACTATATGTAGATAAAAGCAAAACAAAATTGGTCTGGTACTTATCGATTGATGTACAAGAGTGATTTTACTTTCCACCATCACCAAATTTGCCCGCACTGTCGAACGAGCACCAAGAGTCCTTCATGGTGGGCAGTGGTCGTCCAGACTTCCCTGGCCTCGACAAAATTCTCCGTTATAAGACCTGTGCCTCCTGAAACAGAATAAGCACAGCTTCATTGAGCTAATTTACATCCAAAAGTAGCCCAGACGCGTACGCCTTCGAAATTCAAAAAGCCCTTATAAGCTTAAGCATTCTTGAATAAACCAAACAAGCAATAAATTCAAAGACAAAAAGGTGAAAGTCGGTACTAGACACAGGGCACACAGCACAAATTAGGAACATTTTAGAAAACGCCGCTCGATTTATATCGCTAAACCACACCGGCAGCCAACAGCTTGAACTTATCTTCCCTCTTAACACACGTTTGTCGATTAAGGTTTCCACTACGACTGAACTCCGAGAGTTTTTATGAAACGCGGGTCTCAGACAGACTGATAAACATTTGTTTGTTTCCTAATTCACCCAGACTAAAATACACGGCTGGAAACTTACCGACCGTTCACCCGATCACCTTCGCTAGGTCGCGCAAACTGCCTGTGGGCAATGATAACGAACTTTGAATTTTTTGCAAATGTGAAAGAAACCAATCGCTTGGTGCTAATCACACATTCCGACAATCACGGGCTCATTCTCCCGGAGGCGCTCAATATTTTGAACTATTTCTCGGATTTTTCCATTCAATCCATGAATTATGAAAGGATTAAAAAAGCAAGAAAGAAGAAAAGTTAATTTTCGTTGCAAAATGCGGAGTTCAAAGATTACCTACAGCGAAAAATTACGATTGTCGTGTGGTTTCCATCTTGTAACGCCTGCCGATACTGCGTGACAACAATCACACAAGGACTGTGTGACAGAGCTGAATAATGAAATGCTACGTCAGCAGGTATGCGGTCAAAAACGCGGGCTGAAGTGTCCTAGGTCTAAAATTTAGCGATAATAAGGGCTGACCTTTAAAACCCAGGAACTC